TACAAATAATACTCTTTAATAGGAACTTGTGCAACCACAAATGAGTATAAATCGGTGAGTACACACATACACACACGATGCAAAGGTTTGCAACAAGACTAGTCCCGGAGCTAAGGGGAATGTCCTACTAGGAGGAAAATCGACCTGACATTACTGGAGAGCAGGAGAGATAAGGGGATATGATAACAACATATAAAATACTGAAAGGAATCGACAAAGTGGACAGAGACAGGATGTTCCAGAGATAGGACACAGCAACAAGGGGTCACAGTTGGAAGTTGAAGACTCAGATGAACCACAGGGATGTTAGGAAGTATTTCTTCAGTCACAGAGTTGTCGATAAGTGGAATAGTCTGGAAAATGATGTAGTGGAGGCAGGATCCGTATATAGCTTTAAGAAGAGGTATGATAAAGGTCATGGACCAGGGAGACAGACCTAGTAGCGACCAGTGAAGAGGCGTGTCCAGGAGCTGTGGATCGACCCCTACAACCACAATTAGGTGACTACACACACACACACACACACACACACACACACATACCAGTCTTAGCTGGACGTATTTTTAGCTTAAACAGGTGATACAGGACTCGAACCTTCATTTCCTGGCATGAAACCTGATTACCTCTCATATTCACCAATTCCTTTTGTTTACAATACTGTTATTACTACTACTACTACTACTAATAATAATAATAATTATTATTATTATTATTATTTTATTTTTACAATAATATTAATAATTAAAATAATAATAATAATAATAATAATAATAATAATAATAATAATAATAATAATTATTATTATTATTATTATTATTATGATAAGTAATTCCCAATGTTTATAAATGAATACAAATTTTGAACTTGTGAACAAAAGCCTAATAAAAGCAGCAAAAGCGAGGAAGTAATTTTTAAGTTTACTGATATTTTCGATATTTTACCAGATATTTTAGCCAGATCAACCAGGCTGTGATGGATATGTGGGCTAGTGGGCCACCAGAAGCAACAACCTGGTTGATTAGGCAAGCATCAGAGGAGCCTGGCCCAAATCCGGGCTCGGAGAGTGGAAAAACTCTCGAAATGCATCGAAAGTATAACATATCGTTCTTTCAATGGGAGTAAGAACATGGTACCATAGCTCAGAAATGGCACCATAACTTGAACATGACACCATATCATGACAATGGCAACATAACTCGGCCCTAACATATGGATTGTGCATAGTACCAAAGCTCGAGCATGGTAATGAATAAACATGGTACCATAACTTGAACATGGCACCATAATTTGAGGATAGTGTTATAAAGTGCCCAGAATACCATAACTAGAACATGGTACAGTGGGTTAAGGACTGAACCACAAGTTGAGCACGGCGCCATAACCTGAGCACTGCACCAGTGCTCAAATATTGTAACTATAACTACAGCAGGAGATCAAAACTCACATTGCTGCTCCTGGTGTAGTGGAGATGTGTGTCATCTCAAGTGATGTCATTAGTGTTACTGCTGGTGCTACTTACTCTTGTGTCATCTCAAGTGATGTCATTAGTGTTACTACTGGTGCTACTTACTCTTGTGTCATCTCAAGTGATGTCATTAGTGCTACTGCTGGTGCTACTTACTATTGTGTCATCTCAAGTGATGTATTAGTGTTACTACTGGTGCTACTTACTCTTGTGTCATCTCAAGTGATGTCATTAGTGCTACTGCTGGTGCTACTTACTATTGTGTCATCTCAAGTGATGTAATTAGTGTTACTACTGGTGCTACTTACTCTTGTGTCATCTCAAGTGATGTCATTAGTGCTACTGCTGGTGCTACTTACTTTGTGTCATCTCAAGTGATGTAATTAGTGTTACTACTGGTGCTACTTACTCTTGTGTCATCTCAAGTGATGTCATTAGTGCTACTGCTGGTGCTACTTACTATTGTGTCATCTCAAGTGATGTAATTAGTGTTACTACTGGTGCTACTTACTCTTGTGTCATCTCAAGTGATGTAATTAGTGTTACTGCTGGTGTTTTGTGTCATCTCAAGTGATGTAATTAATGTTACTACTGGTGCTACTTACTCTTGTGTCATCTCAAGTGATGTCATTAGTGCTACTGCTGGTGCTACTTACTATTGTGTCATCTCAAGTGATGTCATTAGTGTTACTGCTGGTGTTTTGTGTCATCTCAAGTGATGTAATTAATGTTACTACTGGTGCTACTTACTCTTGTGTCATCTCAAGTGATGTCATTAGTGCTACTGCTGGTGCTACTTACTCTTGTGTCATCTCAAGTGATGTAATTAGTGTTACTGCTGGTGTTTTGTGTCATCTCAAGTGATGTAATTAATGTTACTACTGGTGCTACTTACTCTTGTGTCATCTCAAGTGATGTCATTAGTGCTACTGCTGGTGCTACTTACTATTGTGTCATCTCAAGTGATGTCATTAGTGTTACTGCTGGTGCTACTTACTCTTGTGTCATCTCAAGTGATGTAATTAGTGTTACTGCTGGTGCTACTTACTCTTGTGTCATCTCAAGTGATGTAATTAGTGTTACTGCTGGTGCTACTTACTCTTGTGTCATCTCAAGTGATGTAATTAGTGTTACTGCTGGTGCTACTTTTGTGTCATCTCAAGTGATGTAATTAGTGTTACTACTGGTGCTACTTACTCTTGTGTCATCTCAAGTGATGTCATTAGTGTTACTGCTGGTGCTACTTACTCTTGTGTCATCTCAAGTGATGTCATTAGTGTTACTGCTGGTGCTACTTACTCTTGTGTCATCTCAAGTGATGTAATTAGTGTTACTGCTGGTGTTTTGTGTCATCTCAAGTGATGTAATTAATGTTACTACTGGTGCTACTTACTCTTGTGTCATCTCAAGTGATGTCATTAGTGCTACTGCTGGTGCTACTTACTATTGTGTCATCTCAAGTGATGTCATTAGTGTTACTGCTGGTGCTACTTACTCTTGTGTCATCTCAAGTGATGTCATTAGTGTTACTGCTGGTGCTACTTACTCTTGTATCATCTCAAGTGATGTAATTAGTGTTACTGCTGGTGCTACTTACTCTTGTGTCATCTCAAGTGATGTAATTAGTGTTACTACTGGTGCTACTTACTCTTGTGTCATCTCAAGTGATGTAATTAGTGTTACTGCTGGTGCTACTTGCTCTTGTGTCATCTCAAGTGATGTCATTAGTTTTACTACTGGTGATACTTACTCTTATCACCACTAAACGTTAACTGTGAGTGAGGGAGAACCTTGCTCGGTGGGATGGGCGGTGTCGTGATGAAGTTTGGTTGGAAAATGTGGGTAAAGGGGGTGAGTGGGAAAATGTGGTGAAGGGATTTGCTTGGGAAGTGTGAGTAAGGTTTAGGTGATGCAGCAGTGAATAGGAGAGTAGTTAACGAGTGGCTTAGGAACTGTAGTGAAGGGAATAAAGTAGTATAGTGCGTGGTGGATGCATAAACTGTTTTTGTTTCATGTTGGGATTGGCTTTTTTGTTTTACTTAACCATATTTCTTTGTTGAAATCGAGTGCTTGGCCGTGTGTGTGTGTGTGTGTGTGTGTGTGTGTGTGTGTGTTGTGTGTGTGTGTGTGTGGTGTGTTGTGTGTGTGATGTGTATGTGTGTGTGTGTGTGTGTGTATGTGTGTGTGTGTACTCACCTAGTTGTGGTTGCAGAGGTTGAGTCATAGCTTCTGGCCCCGCTTGTTCACTGGTCGCTACTGGGTCACTCCTCCCGCTCCATGTGCTTCATCATATCTCTTATTAAAGCTATGTATGGATCCTGCCTCCACTACATCGCTTCCCAAACTATTCCACTTCCTGACAACTCTGTATTGAAGAAATACTTCCTAAGATCTCTGTGATTCATCTGAGTCTTCCACTCCCAACTGTGATCCTTTGTTGCTGTGTCCCATCTCCGGAACATCCTGTCTCTGTCCACCTTGTCGATTCCTCTCACTATTTTATATGTCGTTATTATATCCCCCCTATCTCTCCTGTCTTCCAGTGTCATCAAATCGATTTCCCTTAGCCTCTCCTCGTAGGACATACCCCTTAGCTCCGGGACTAGTCTTGTTGCAAGCCTTTGCACTTTCTCTAGTTTCCTCACATGCTTGGCTAGGTGAGGGGTTCCAAACTGGTGCTGCATACTCCAATATGGGTCTAACGTACAAAGTGTACAGGGTCCTGAACGACTCCTTATTTAGATGTTGGAATGCTGTTCTTAGGTTTTCCAGGCTCCCGTATGCTGCAGCAGTTATTTGGTTGATATGAGCCTCAGGAGATGTGCCTGGTGTTATACTCACCCCAAGATCTTTTTCCTTGAGTGAGGTTTGTAGTCTCTGGCCCCCTAGATTGTACTCCGTGTGTGTGTGTGTGTGTGTGTACTCACCTAGTTGTACTCACCTAGCTGAGGTTGCAGGGGTCGAGTCCAAGCTCCTGGCCCCGCCTCTTCACTGGTCGCTACTAGGTCACTCTCCCTGAACCATGAGCTTTATCGTACCTCTGCTTAAAGCTATGTATGGATCCTGCCTCCACTACATCGCTTCCCAAACTATTCCACTTACTGACTACTCTGTGGCTGAAGAAGTACTTCCTAACATCCCTGTGATTCATCTGTGTCTTCAACTTCCAACTGTGTCCCCTTGTTGCTGTGTCCAGTCTCTGGAACATCCTGTCTTTGTCCACATTGTCAATTCCTCTCAGTATTTTGTATGTCGTTATCATGTCCCCCCTATCTCTCCTGTCCTCCAGTGTCGTCAGGTTGATTTCCCTTAACCTCTCCTCGTAGGACATACCTCTTAGCTCTGGGACTAGTCGTGTTGCAAACCTTTGCACTTTCTCTAGTTTCTTCACGTGCTTGGCTAGGTGTGGGTTCCAAACTGGTGCCGCATACTCCAATATGGGCCTAACATACACGGTGTACAGGGTCCTGAACGATTCCTTATTAAGATGTCGGAATGCTGTTCTGAGTTTGGTAGGCGCCCATTATGCTGCAGCAGTTATTTGGTTGATGTGCGCTTCAGGAGATGTGCCTGGTGTTATACTCACCCCAAGATCTTTTTCCTTGAGTGAGGTTTGTAGTCTCTGGCCCCCTAGACTGTATTCCGTCTGTGGTCTTCTTTGCCCTTCCCCAATCTTCATGACTTTGCACTTGGTGGGATTGAACTCCAGGAGCCAATTGCTGGACCAGGTCTGCAGCCTGTCCAGATCCCTTTGTAGTTCTGCCTGGTCTTCGATCGAGTGAATTCTTCTCATCAACTTCACGTCATCTGCAAACAGGGACACTTCAGAATCTATTCCTTCCGTCATGTCGTTCACAAATACCAGAAACAGCACTGGTCCTAGGACTGACCCCTGTGGGACCCCGCTGGTCACAGGTGCCCACTCTGACACCTCGCCACGTACCATGACTCGCTGCTGTCTTCCTGACAAATATTCCCTGATTCATTTTAGTGCCTTCCCTGTTATCCCTGCTTGGTCCTCCAGTTTTTGCACTAATCTCTTGTGTGGAACTGTGTCAAACGCCTTCTTGCAGTCCAAGAGAATGCAATCCACCCACCCCTCTCTCTCTTGTCTTACTGCTGTCATCATGTCATAGAACTCCAGTAGGTTTGTGACACAGGGTTTCCCGTCCCTGAAACAATGTTGGTTGCTGTTGATGAGATCATTCCTTCCTAGGTGTTCCACCACTCTTCTGATAATCTTCTCCATGGCTTTGCATACTATACATATCAGTGACACTGGTCTGTAGTTTAGTGCTTCATGTATGTCTCCTTTTTTAAAGATTGGGACTACATTTGCTGTCTTCCATGCCTCAGGCAATCTCCCTGTTTCGATAGATGTATTGAATATTGTTGTTAGGGGTACACATAGCGCCTCTGCTCCCTCTTTCAGGACCCATGGAGAGATGTTATCCGGCCCCATTGCCTTTGAGGTATCTAGCTCACTCAGAAGCCTCTTTACTTCTTCCTTGGTTGTGTGTACTGTGTCCAGCACTTGGTGGTGTATTCCACCTCTCCGTCTTTCTGGAGCCCCTTCTGTCTCCTCTGTGAACACTTCTTTGAATCTCTTGTTGAGTTCCTCACATACTTCAAGGTCATTTCTTGTTGTCTCTCCTCCTTCCTTCCTTAGCCTGATTACCTGGTCCTTGACTGTTGTTTTCCTCCTGATGTGGCTGTATAACAGTTTCTGGTCAGATTTGGTTTTCGCTGCTATGTCATTTTCATATTGTCTTTGGGCCTCCCTTCTTATCTGTGCATATTCGTTTCTGGCTCTACGACTGCTCTCCTTATTCTCCTGGGTCCTTTGCCTTCTCTATTTCTTCCATTCCCTAGCACACTTGGTTTTTGCCTCCCTGCACCTTTGGGTCAACCATGGGCTCATCCTGGCTTTTTCATTATTCCTGTTACCCTTGGGTACAAACCTCTCCTCAGCCTCCTTGCACATGGTTGTTACATATTCCATCATCTCATTAACTGGCTTCCCTGCCAGTTCTCTGTCCCACTGAACCCTGTTCAGGAAGTTCCTCATACCCGTGTAGTCCCCTTTCTTGTAGTTTGGCTTCATTCGCCCTGGCCTTCCTGCTTCCCCCTCCACTTGTAGCTCTACTGTGTATTCGAAGCTTAAAACCACATGATCACTGGCCCAAGGGGTCTTTCGTATGTGATGTCCTCAATATCTGCACTACTCAAGGTGAATACTAGGTCCAGTCTTGCTGGTTCATCCTCTCCTCTCTCTCTTGTAGTGTCCCTTACGTGTTGGTATATGAAGTTTTCCAGTACCACCTCCATCATCCTAGCCATCATCCATGTATCGTGGCCCCCATGTGGCTCCAAGTTCTCCCAATGGATTTCCTTGTGGTTAAAGTCACCCATAATCAGGAGCTTTGCTCTGCATGCATGAGATCTTCTGGCCACTGCAGCCAGTGTGTCAACCGTCGCTCTATTGCTGTGTGTGTGTGTGTGTGCGCGCGCTCTTGGGTGTGCTGGAAAGAGCTGCCGTAGATGATACCATGTAGCGACTGTAGTGGGCGTGAATCACCACTTACAGAGTGGTATGCTGACAGCTTCTCTCTGGGTATATTTGCAAGAGTGGCCGCGTGCAAATTCTGACGTGCAGCAAATTGGTGTTTTGGGGTCGTCTGGTCTCTGTGCCAACTAATTTAGCAAATATCTTTGTTCATGGTTGAGGAGGGTCCTTCAGACAAACAAAATGACAGACAAATACCAGAGCAAGCCTTTTGTTTACAGTGACAACTTTTGTCTCTAAGGACTGACAGGAAAATTGTTCCAATAAAGGTCTTCTGCTATGTATCTCTCAATTCATCACATAAACATAAGCGTAATTTTTCAAGGGGTGGACCGGTAGGCCAGGGAAAGGCCCCTGTCAGATGACCAAAAGCTCCAGCTGTGGGTCATATGACTAAAAAACACTTGTCCTGTTTCATGACAAATCTTACATAACTTTGTTATCACATCTACTTTGCTTCTAAGTTGGTGCATAACTGTTAACGACATCTTTCGGTAAGCGTTTTAGCTCCTGGTGTGAGGAAGATTGTGAGTTTGCATTGTCCTGTGGCAGTCCTATTAAAGATCACGCTTTTGTTGGTTCTGTTCTGTTGTGAGGAATATGGTGGTAAGAGCAAAAGTGGTACATGCAATAATGTTGGCAGTTCCACTGCTGGTAGTGGTTATAGCTGAGGATGTATACATAATGACAGTTGAAATGTTGGTGGGGTAGGAGTAACTGTGGTTATTGTTGTTGTAGTACTGGTGGTTGAAGTGGTGGTGGTAACGATTATATTCATAATAGTGGTAGCGGTAGTATTTTTAGTTATGCTAATAATGGTTGTATTTGCACTAGTGGTGATTGAAGCCGTGTTGACAGTGCTAATTCTCCTGGTAGTGATGGATGTATATCTGCTACTGAGATGGCAATATGCAGGTTGCGACTGTAGTGGTTGAATGGATAGTGAGTGTGTTAGTGCTGGCTAGGAGTGAGCACTGGAAATGGTGCATAGTGGCTTTATAGCTGTATCAGTGGTGTCTATGAGCGTTTTTGTGGTGGTGATAGTGGATGGTAGAAGCTGCGTCGTGACTATGCAAGTTGTTACAGTGGAGCTGATAATGGTGATAGTGTCACTGCTGGTGTGGGCGGATGGAAGTGGTGATTGTAGGTAACATTGATTATTATGACTTTGTTGTGAATAATAGTGAAAGGGATGGGAAATTGTAATTGTGGACTTTACGGGTTGTAGTGTGTTATTATGGTAGTGGTGGTGGATTACGGTTTCAGTGGTAAATGTAGTAGTGATGGCAAGTAATAGTTGTGAGAGAAGGTTTTATTTGTTGTAGGTAATGGTTATTGATGGTAGTACTGTGATGATCTGGCAGCTGTTAATGTTTATTGTTCTTGTACTAGTTAGCTGTGGTAGTTGAGACATTAATTAATACTGATGAATACGTTTACAATGGAAATTATTCAGTAATCAGTGGTGGCAGCTGTAACGACAATCAGATGTAGTTTTGGCGATGGTTAACTGTTTTAAGTTTTGTCAGTTAACTGCTGTTGTGACGGCAGTTAACTGCAATAGTTATGGCGTCTATTAGCTTTTTGTAGTTGTTGCGGCAGTAAACTATTGTAGCTATGGTGGGTCTCTGCAAAAGTTGTGGCGATAGTTGCAGAAGGTAACAGTTGTAACTACGTTAGAAGTTAGGTCTGGAAGACGAAGAGAAAATTAGCCACAGGAGTTGTCAAGCTGGGAATGTTCCTGTATGAGTTCAATGGAATAACTGTGGCTACAGCATTAGCAGCTGTGTTAATAGTCATCTATGATAAGAGCGGTTGCTGTTATATGCGATTGTTGCAGTATGTTGGTAGGTAGCTGTGGTCATTGTTGCAGCAATCAACAATAATAATTTTGGTAGTATGCTGTGGTAGTTATGGCGGTAATCAACAATAATAGGGTTGTTCGTTATCTGAGGTAAATATATTTAATAATTAGCACTGATAGTTGTGGCAGAAGTAAGCAGCAGTAATTGAAATTATCAGTGGTAGTTGCAACACCGGTTGTGAAGTTTGTGGTGCTAATAAAAGGCCTGGCATTGCACACACACACACACACACACACACACACACACACACACACACACACACACACACACACACACACACACATACACACACAAGATTAAACATACTGTGTGTGTGAATATTTTATACAAAACTAAAAACTAATCGCTTGCAAAACTCAGTGTCAGTCCTATTTTCAAGTATATTAGGAGCTCCATAGGCCTACTCTATATGGTGATAACGTGCGAATATGCTGAAATGTCACTCTTTGTAGCTACTATCAACAAGAAACACAACACAGACTTCAATACTTGACAAGTTATATGTCGAGGAATGCTTTGAGCAGTACCTGGGGACTTTAGCTGGGTTTATCCAGCCTCTTTCTTGTCCACTGCCTTTGAGAGGCACTGTGGAAAGTGCTTCGTTGATCATTGTAGGGGATTAAATGACCGATAGTTTTGCCTACGAGCGGCGCGCCAGGAGACCATTTCCACTGTAGACGTGGCGTCACAAACCTGGCGTCACAGAGGTTACGAGCAAGTCATCGTAAGTGTGGAAGCATGATGCAACAGCAACGCCAAAACCACAAAAGTCACCAGCAAAGGAGACTCGTCTTTCTTCGAACCTGTGGAAAGAAGTTACAAAGTTACAGTTTTAGTAGCAGTATTACTTTAACTGGTTATACTAGCATTGGAATCTGAAGTGGTACTAGTAAACTGGCAACATTAATTATAGCTATACATTAATAGAAGCAATAAGTAATCTGATTAAAGGTTGTTGTGAGGTAATTCATACTAAGTCTAACGAAGATTACAAATGTGACATTTTCCAGGTCACTGTTGAAGCTACTCAGGACACTCATCTTCACGGACAAAATTTGTTACATAAGGATAGATAGATAACTTTCTGGAGGCTTAAAAATAGATAACAAAAGCGCATACAAATGTTAGGACCAATCCAAAAGTTTTTTCCACGTATTTGTGTCCATGAATCGGGAAAAAGAAAAATCCCCAAAAATCTAGCTAAGAAGTATTTACTATATGGATATAGACCTGTATATGTTATTAACACGAATGTCATTTCTAACAAAAAATTAATATATATCACTACAATAACATGTAAGAAAACTAAACTTATAACTAGTTTTCTCCTATGAAAGTATTTTGAAAAGTTCTAAATGGATGTAAACAGAAACTTAGTAAAGTTTATCTCGTTAATAAAATACTACGAACGAGATATCTCCAAAGCCTCGAAAAACTGATCACTCAGAATGATCTCAATAATAGGAAAATTACTGGAACCAATGACTGAGGATGTAAACAAAGCCACAATAATGGAAATAATTGATCGAAGACTCTCAACTCTGTTTCACCATTGATCATACATGACCTACAAAATTAATAATTTTTACCAATAAAATATTTAAAGCTGAAAACCATGACATAAAAATTTTTATAAGTTGTACTGCACAGGAGATTGATGAAAGGTGTTGATATACATGATACAATATTAAGGCATCACTGACTGATCAGTTGATTGATTAGTTGGGATTGAAACCTATCGGCTGCCTGCCACTAGATTTTTTTTCAAAGAGTGAAGTGAAGGACCCAGTTACAATTGGAGTTTCCCAGGAAAATACCTGTTGTGGCATAAACCACTTAGTTGAGGATGATAGCAGTGTACAAGTTACTCTTAAGAACAATGTGAGGTGACAATATTATGTGGATAATATAAAGCGTAAAGATTATAAGACTGTATGGGGTCACCAGCAGTATAATTCAGAGAGTTGAGGTAGGGTTGTTGAGGTGGTTTAAACATTTAGAAAGGATGGAGCAGATAGGAAGACTTAGAGAGTTCTGTGGCCTCTTTCAGTCCAAACATGCTTAGCCACATCCACAATAATACGTTCTAGGTGGTTGCCAACGTTTTTTTAACCAAAAAAATAATGAACCGATAGTATTCATGTTTGCAAATAAGCATAACATTCTATATAATGTAATTCAGACATATTCTAGTGTTAAATAAGTCAGACTCAGTTTGAGAACGTTTCGGTAAAACTTGGTCTATTAATAAGTTACGATAAGGACTTCTTTAGTTTCAGTCTTCGCGTAAAGTATCTTTTAGATTATATGGCAGATTTCTGGTCGCCACATTAAAGAATAACTAAAAAATCCATTGGAGAACATATATCGAAGGGTGACAAAAATATTTCTTGTTCAAGAACATAAGAATAAAATACAGAGGAGCACTGCAGTACGCCTACTGACACGATTACAAACAAACTATACCACGGGTAGGGTTCAAACCCGCGATCAGAGAGTCACAAAACTCCAGACCGACAAGTTAGCCACGCAAAGCAGATTCCTGTCAAACCCAACTCTTCCCACACATATCACAAACCTTTCCTACGAAGATTGATTGAGATCCCTGAATCAACACTCATTTAAAAAGCATAAAATGAAGGGAGAGTAGAAAGGTAAAAAAAACATACCTACTCTTAATTAAGTAAATAGACACATTTGCAATGTCTGCATAATTTATTATAGGCCGCTTTACGCTCGCCAAGCTTAACAAAACTTCTGGTGAGGGATACGTGGCTTAAAAATAATTTATTCAGAACTTTACCAATTTGTTTACCTAATTAATAGTCGATATTTCCACATTGTCTACTAAAAATTGTCGGACATCTTAATACCATGGATATCATTTCTGTTTTTAATAGTGAAAAGATAACTAGGCAAAATACAACTGGAAAAAATGGATTTTAGTAATAAAAGTTGTAACTGAAGTGAATAAACGTCCAGGTTTTCAGTGAGGGAAATTCCTCAAGTATCTTCAGAATTAGGTTTGACAAATGTATGAGTCGGAATCATTGGGGATGAGCAGGACCTGTCAAGCAGGGGCTAGTATACCTGTTGTAGTCATCTATCTTTTTATTCTATAGTTATAGCAATAGTTCAATACGTTTCAGGTTAATATGCAGTATTTAGTAATATGCAAAACAGCATACAAAAACATACCAGTATTAGTAGAATTATTATTATTATTATTATTAGTAGTAGTAGTAGTAGTAGTAGTAGTAGTAGTAGTAGTGGTAGTTGTAAAAATAATAGTTGTAGTAGTAGTAGCTGCAGTAGTATCACAGGAGAATTGTAGTTATACAACCTTCTACTTTAATGAACATTTTATGAGTGTGGTCGTCAAATGCAGAGGTTTTGCTCGGCCTCAGCATGCCGCTTCTCTGAAGTATCTGTGCTTTATCTTCCAGCTCTCCTCCAGTAATATTCAATACACCTCCACTCCAGCCACGGGGGAAACACCAGGCACACAGCCTCGGCAAATATTTAACGTGTAAACATAGGCGACTCAGCTATCACAGCCAACAACATGAATGAGGAATATTTCTTCGTCTTTTACATTCCTTTTTATCATTATTTTTATCTCTAGAGTAGTGAAGTTGTGTGAGCATTATAATTTTAGTATTGACTAAGGCAGCGAGAACTGGGGGCACGAGAACTCCTCCTTAGTAAGAACCGAGGTGCCTAACCCAACAGGTAAACCCTTGACACACTACTCACTAGCCTTCGGTAAACACAGCTGCCGCATGTGCTTCTGATTAATACAGGGCCGTTTAGGTGCTGCTGATTAATGCAGTTGATTAACAGAGGTGTGCTGGAGGCTCTCGTGATCGGTGCAGGTGTGTTTGATTGCTCTGATTAAGCCGGTGAATAATATAGATGTGTGTTGAAGACCGATGAAGGTAAACAATGATCTCTGGACAATAGCATAAAAATACGTGAAAAAACAAATCAGGACACATAAAATGTATTTAAATTTCGGCCTCACGTTGATTACCTCTTCATCATGGTAGAAGTGAACGTTGCTAATGCGTTGAAAAGCATACAATCGCCATCGTAAATCCTCGTATAGACTTTCTTGAATTCTGTTCAGTTAGGAACCACACTAACATCACAAAATTACCCAATACAAAAAACTATTATGTTTAAGAGCCATTAACGTTCTTCACTCTGCTGTGAGTTGTCGTGGGGGACAGAATAGGTGTTGACACAGGCATTAGCATACCTTAGTCACTCACTCCTGGAAACAAATGAAAATCTGCAGTTCCAGCAGATTCATGGTTTGGCTCCGGTGGCAGCAGCATCTCTTGGAAATCGTAAGAGGTAGTGATTCACTGGTTGTGCAACTGTGTACTGGAAGATCTAACCTCAACCACACCATCCGTTACGGTATAATACCCACAAGTTCATGAATAAGACCTAAGTTGGGTATCCTTAATGTTGAAACATTTTTCCTACACAGGGTTTTTTTTTCTTTTTTTCCTGAAAAAGTCTCGTGTAGGCGAAACGGTTTTTAGCAAAAAGAACCCGTCTGTTCCCTGTGTCTTATCAATCCCTTACAGTTTATTTCTATCACTTCCCCTAACACTATCCCTTTTGAGGAAAAAATAAAATCTTTTCTGTACTATCGTTTGCATTTACGCCCTCGCAGCACTACCCACCCTAAAATACCATCGACAGCATACCACACCCCTTTTATACCATCGAAAGCACTCCCACCACACTACCCCGCAGCCCCCCCTAACCACACCCTCCCTTATAAAATCGACAGTACTACACACATTACATACCTCGACAAAACCCCAACCTCTATATACCCGACGCACTACCCACCATTATCATTTCCCTCGCAGCCATCCCCCCATCTATCAACCCGCACCTACCCCAAACCCCTATCATCCCGCAGCACACCACAATATCATCCCGCGCACTCCCCAAAAATCTATCATCCTGACAACTACCCACTCCATCATCCATCCGGGCCCACCACACCATCTTATACTCGACACACTAACCCATTTCATACCCCCACAGCACTCCCCACCATTATATACCACGACGCCTACCCACACCCTCTTCATACCATCGACAAACATCCACCCCTATATCCCTCGAGCACTACCACCCATCTTCATACCATCGACAACACTACCCCCCATCTTCCATACATCGACAGACTAACCCCACATTATCATACCTCGACAACAAAACCACACCTCTTTATACCCTCGCGACCCACACCTCTTTTACCCGCGCATACCCCCCTTTACTACCTCGACAGCATACCCCCCCTTTACCACGACAGCACTACCACACCCTTTCTCCCGAAACACCCCACCATTTCAAACCCTCACAAAACTACCCCCCCCATCTACCCCTCGACGCATTCCCCCCCATCCTCAACCATCGACACATTCCACCCATCTTATACCCTCGACCCACCACACCAAATTTACCTCGACGCACTACCACCCTCTTTTACCCTCGACGACTCCACACCATTTTACCATCGACAGCACTCCACACCCCTTTTACCCCCGACGCACTACCACCCATCTTTACCATCGACAGCACTACCCCACCACTTTACCCCCTCGAACATACCCAAACCCCACCATCTACAAACCCCAAACGACCCCCGCATTTTACCCATCTTTACCCCCGACAGCATCCACACCATCTTTCCATCGACAGACACCCACCATCTCTACTCGACGACTAACACACTTATTAAACCACGAACCTCCCCCATTATATACACGACAGA